TATTTAATTATTTATTAAATTATGAATAAAATATGAGTTTTAATTTTTTCCAATTATTTTTGATCCATACTGTATATAAATATATATAAATATTAACCTTAATAAAGTCTGTTAAACAAGATCTATACTAGCATTTAATAATAATAATAATAATATATATATATATATATAGACCTGTGAGTCCATAGTGTAATAGTTAATATTTTATAAGTCAAATTACAAGATACCAGTTCAATCCTATATGAAAGTGGTTAAATAGAATTAATATAATATCTGGCACCATAATCTGTAAAAGTGCTGTTTCTCATAAAAAATTATTTCACATGTTGATTCAGTAGACATTGAAATTGTGATTTCCAGAAAAGGTATTATAATATGACAATTATCTGATTGGTATTATAATAATTGCCAGAAGTTGTAAAATATATAAGATGTCCATTTTCAACAAACAGGTTTGATAATTGCTCCCTAATATTTAGCATTTTTTTACAAATTCCTGTCCTAGTCTCATCCCAATCCAGTAATAAACTAATCTAGTAGTGCTTATTCCAAGAAAGCATTTGGCAGTAAAGTCTGCTTCATATAAAGTTACGTAAGATTTGTTTATTTAATAAGAAGTAAAAATGGAAAGAATCTCAAGAAAAACTTGTAAAAAAGCAATTGCTATAGGTCTTTCCTTATGCAATCCAAAAAAGAAGCAAGAGTTTAAAACTTGCTTTTTTTTGGCAGAGGTTCTACCCCAATGTACCAATATACTTTTTTAAGGTTCTTGTATTGAAAATAAGAAAAGTGTGAAAGACTTTTGAGTATTTAAAGATGAAAAAAATATTGTTTCTTTAATTTTAAAAAAATTACTATAAAAAAAAATTTTTAAGAAAAATGTTGTATACAGGAAAGAGTTTTTTTATAACATTCATTATCTTATAAATTTAATAAATAAATAAATATAAATCTATAATATATAATTTTTATTTGATAAATATAAAATAAAACTTGTTTTTATTTGAATTATAATGTTTTCCAAACATGTTAAAAATGTTTTTTTATATTTTTACCAGAATATATATCTCAAATTCATATAAAATTAATAATTATTGCTTGCATTTTTCAATTTTTATCAATAAAATATATTGCTATAATTAAAAAAGCTTTTATTGATATTGATATTCAAATATCAAGAGTAAATAAAACTCAATTTTTGGTTTTTTGTAATAATTTCTGTATTTTTTTTTAATTGGTCAAATAAAATTTTATTATATTTGTTTTAATAACAGTAAGAGAAAATAATTTTATATTTTTTGATAAAGTTTTTATAAATTTTTGAAAGTTAATTTTTATATGATTATAAAAGAATATTATTTAATAACAATCTATTGAATTAATTTTTTTTTTTTTAAAAAAATCATATATTCTTTAAATATTAAATAAATTTTATTGTATTATCTTTGTTTTATTAAAATAATTTTTGATACTAGGTCTATTAATGTTTCAATCTAATTTTGCTACATGGTATTTTTTAAGATATTTATATATATTAATAGTACTGTTTTTGTTACAAATATATGTAGCTTTTCAATAGTTACAAGTAGCTTTTTTAATATTTTTAAAATCCAAATCTTTTATAAAATAGTTTTATACTTTGTTTTAGTTTATTATTATAGAAGATGATATTGTTTCTGAAAAATTATTTGTAATAATATTGTATTATTATTATTGTTACTTTTATAACTAATTAAGTTTAAAAAAATTATTGGAAAAAAGTTAAATAGCAATTGTTAAAATAAAAAAAATATTAATATAAAACAACCTTGCTGAAATATAAAGAAAATATAAAAACAGCAAAAGTAAAATTATTAAAAAGTTTTTTTATTTATAATGCTATATTATGAAAAAATAATAAAATAGAATTAAGCCATAAAAATTTTTGATTTTTTTGATTATTACTTTATATGTTTTAATTAAATTAAATTTTTTTTTTTGTTTTTATTTAAATATAAAATATAAAAATCTAAAATCAGTGTTGTTTTAACCAAAACCAAACCAATCTGATCTAATCAAATTAAAAAATTTTAAATTAAATTGATCTGAATCTTATCAAATTAAAATTTTAAAAATTGAACTGATTTAAATTAAAACTGATTTGTAAATCAATCAATTTTCAGTTTAAAACTTTAATTCCTACTTGTTACTTTGGATTCTTTTTATTGGATTTTTTTTTAAAGCAATTATTAGATTAAAATAATTTCAAATTAGAATATTTTTTATATTATAGAGTTTATTATATTAGAAAAGTTATAGGCTTTTATGAAAAATCTTATTTTATATAATCTTTTTTATTTTAATTTAAATTCAATTTATGATTATTAAAAAAATTAAAGGTTTTATTTTTATCTGGTCTAATTAAATTTGATCAAGATTCAGATATTTGAATATTTTATATATAGAAAATTAATAAACCTATATATAACTAAAATTTTATAATTGCTTTTTATAAGTATTAAATTAGAAATATGAATTTGGGAATTTGAAAGTATTATTCATTATACTATTAACCTATAGATATATTTTACTTAATATTTAAAAAAATATATATTAATAAAAGTTAATATTGAAATATAGTAGTTTTGTTTTTTTTTTAAAAAAAATTTATTAATACTTTTTATAATATAATAATATTTTTAATTTATAAAAATTTTTAATTAATTAATTATTTATTTTAGATATATGTAATTAATTAATTATTTATTATAATTAAAAATTGTAAATTAAAAATATTTAATTTTAAATTTTTTCAAAACAAAAGCAAATTATCCAAAACATAAATATTTAAATAAATATTTTAACATATAAGATAAATTTATAAAACTTTAATTTTAATTTATTTTTTTATATAAACAAATTTTTATAATATGATATTTGGGAAAATTATTTATACAATTTTAAAAAATGATATTTTAAAAATAATAATTTAAAATATTAAATAAGAATTATTTAAAAAATTTTACTTTATATATATTAGTAATAATTAATTAATATTTATATTACAATAAAAACTTTTTCTAAGGATTTTATTATTATATTTAATCATCTCAAGATATTCTATAAAAGAATTTAATTTTAAAAATATTTATATTTATAATTATTTATAAAAAAGTTTATATAACTTAAGCACAAAAAATATTTTAATACTAATTAGAAAAAAAAAAATCTTATTCACTAATGAAATAGTAGTTCAGGTATTTAAAAATATAATTATAAACTTGATGCAAAAAAGATGTAAATTAATAATTGAAGATAATGATAATCAAGTCAATTATTAATTATATGTTTATAAAATTTCTTAAAATTTAATCTTACATTTTGATATACCATATATATTTATATTTATATATATTAATTTTTACACAATAATTTTTAAGTAATAAATAAATAAATAATTTTGCATAAAATGAATATGTTGTTTATTATTCACTGATAATGAATTGAAAAAATAAAATATATTTACTGTAAATGTACAGTATAATATTAACATGTTCAAGAGAAAATGAAACACATGATATGTTCTCGGATTTTCATCTACCGTTAAAAATCAAAGAACTTAAGTGAGATGGCGGACGAGAATAAGAATAGTCACGGTGATAATTCTTTAAGTACACATATTCAGGATACATTGATCAGGGGTTGTAAATTTGGCTTAAAATTATTTTAAAAGTCTTGGCGTCGATCTTCTGTGAAGAACTTTCCGAAATCTTGGCTCTCAAGTCTTGGCACACGTGATTAACTGGCAAAAAAGCAAGAGCTGAGGTGTCGTCCATTCACCCAATTAGGAAGGGATTTTTGCCAAGAAAATTATTCTCCAAAGCCCATACACACTCTTTGGGCACATGCTGAAAGAAACTAGCATGAGATGATGCAAGACGTTAAATAAACAAATACGGTCCTGGCGATTGCTCATGCTAACTAGGAAATTTCATACAAAAGTTAACATGCACGCATCTACAGTATAGACAGTCAATGGAATCCAGGATTCCTGTTTTTCTTGGCATCAGAAGTTATTGTTTGACGCGACTTGCGCTATTTACTATTTTGTAATGGGAATTCTTGAGAACCTCAAAATCCGCAGTAAAATTTGTGATGAAAAATTAAAAAACAAGGTAATCGAACGGGAAGGTTTTATTTTAATTTATGCACATTATCATTAACTTATTGTCTCTTGCGGATGAATATTTTTACATACTATCGTCATATCTTAGAACGTACTACTTTTTATCCTACAGGCATAATTGTGTGCACCCTTCAAAAAACAAAATAAGATAATGAAAAGCAATGGTTATTGGAATTATTTTTTGAATGAACGCTCTCTCAATGTTATTTACATCGCTCCCAACATTTGTATTAAATCACATTCGCCTAATTATCAATACTTTTCAGAAAGTGTTATTTTGAGGAAATCTTGTGATATGAGAAGTCGATCCAGCGTGAAAAAGTGCATATGAGATAGATGGTAGCCTTTCGTTGGATATTGATTTTGGTGAGCTTCCATCACGATTGACCAACGACGGCATTGATGAAGGTAGCTGATGATGAATATGAGAATTCGGATAAAATTTTGGAGTTTTTTCCTGGTAATTTATATTTGTTTTCATCAGCGTTGGGTCGTGACGTAGTGACGGTAGAGGGAACGAAATAGAATTTAGGGTGGGTGAGGTGATTGTTTTTGTAGAATGAATTGGAAATGAATTTATCGAAGAGGAGATTGGCGAGGTAGTTAATGAAGAAACCGAACTTCCGGGTGACGAGCCGTAACTTGATGTAGGGGAAGACGAATTTGAATATGACGAAGACGAAGAATTACTATTATATCTTGACACTATAGGTGATCTGGAAAGTTCATTGGCATAATGATTATCGTTATTATTATGATATTGATTGGTATGATAAGGATGATAATAAGGAGGAGTTGGAGGCCGTGCAAGGAGTCTTCCAGATGTACGATGATTTTTTAAACTTGTCAATTGTTGCTGATGACTTTCGCTGTGAATTTTATAATGTTTTTTTAAATCCTGTGGACGTTTAAATGCTTTCTTGCATGTCTAAAATAATAATAATAATAATAAATCTCTGCTTTCTTCATAAATTGGGTATAAAGAGTTGAGTTCAAGGAAGAAATACTCACCTCACAGATATGCGGTTTCAGAGGTACATGCACTCTAAGATGACTGGTGATATGATCTCTCTTTGAAGTTCGGACATCACAATCGTCCCAATAGCAATCCAAACACAAGTTTCCTGTGGATTTTCTGCCCACATGATCCACAGAAAGGTGAGAATACATTGCTTCGGCATCATCGAATTGACGATTACATTTTTTCCAATGGCAGATTAACACATCATCTTCGTGGTATACGCTGTCTGCGTCACTGTAAGTCGCCGAGGAAGCAGGAGACAAAGACATATTTGATTATTATAAGCGACAGGATGTAGTTTGTGACCGAGCTATGGTTTATCCTCAAAGTTTTGTTTCTAGAATCCGGAAATCTAACGAAAGCTCAGAAAGAGGTCTATAGTGTGTTTCTATTGGAAATATATTATAAATAAATTTTATACACGATTTTAAATTCAAGGTTTTATCGAAAAGTTATTAAAATCTTATTTTTTGAAAGGAAACTTGAGAAAGAAAAAAATCGCTGCTATTTAACCAGGTTTTTATATTTATAAAATACCAAGAACATCAGCACGCTTGTGATTGGCGAGCTGATTTCCTATTTAAATTTACAGTACTGTATGAATATTCATGACCAAGATGATCATACAATAAGTCTAGTGATAAAAGTCATAGTCACAGTATCACAAAGTCCAAATGCGAGAAATGACAGCGTCCTGAAGTGAGGATTTTACTTGAGATTTTCGCACATGCAAGAAAAAAAAATGATTCGGACATAAGATCCAGACAGGATTTCATAACGTTGCGGGTCGGCAATACTGTTACTCCATAATTGAATATCAATCGAAGCTAAGAATGAATGCTAGGTAATAAATAGTGTAATTACGGACTTACAGTACCTAAAGATGCACAAAATGGACGATTCTTAGTTTGCAAATGCAGAAGTGCGTTTGATTAAGTTATGTAAGTAATGGTGCAACCGTCTGGAATGCTGAAGTCTCTTTTGAACATTTCTTTACTCATTATCCGGCGGCTGTTTGAGATTATTGCGCGAGAACTGGTAAAGCGTTGCACGCGTTGATGCTGTATATACACGTCAAGACTGTCTAATATTGTGATACAACAAAAATAAGCATCCAATTAAAGAAATCCTTTCTTTCTCTATTTTAAGTCACCATGCACGAAATTAATTAATAAAACAATGATTACCA